CAAAACATGTATTTCATCACAAAAGCAAGAGTAACTGTATAGTTATAGAAAGCAAACCGAATAAAAGAGAAAATGTTGTCATTATGTGTTTATCATTTAGTGCAGAATTGCACTTGAACCAGCTTGACTACTGCCTTCTGAAGCTCATATATTAGAAGCTTTCAAACCTACTGATACATTTAGTTCTTAAATATGAAAGTGAAGCTCTCCCTGGAATGGCAGGCTATTTAAAGTTTCTGAATAACATCTGAAGAAATGTTCTTAAAGCAGTTAAAGAAACCGGTTAATGAACATAGTATTACATTTAAAAAAAAGGGGGAGAAGGTCAAAGTTTGTTTAGTAGATCTTTTTGCTTTGATTTGAAGACTACATTTCCAGTTTTTATATTATTCCTCTGTACGCAGATTAGAGTTATGAAGCTGTTAAAGTCAGAAGGTGAAGGAAAATCAAGAAAAGTCGTTAGTGCTCTGAGGAAGGAAAAGTGCTGTACTGCCAAATATATTTGTGAACTATTTAAAAAAACAAAACAAAACACATTCTATAACTTTCAGGACTGGAAATGGTTGTTTCCTGGGGTGATTTTTAAACTCTGTAAATGCCTGATTTTATTTCTTTGTTTTAATTTTTTTTTTTTTTTTTTTTACTATCTGATTCACTTTTCAGTTCCCTTTACACTTACTGTGAATATCTGTGATGGGATCTTCACACAGAATATTTTCTTGCAAAGTCTGCTAAAATGAGACTAATTTTCACATATAATTTTCTCTGAGATTTTGAGATCTTTGTGTCAATATTTTGCCTCTTTCCATATAGATGCAAATGACAGTAAGGTTGGAGACTGCAAAAATATTATAACTCTCAAAAACGTAAATTGCATTTCATATTAGGAAAGGATTTAGGAGACAAGAATATTTGTTTATTGAGCAAGTGATTTTATGCATCTATGAATTTGTCATTATAAAAAACTAAACCTTGTAATGGAAGCAGTTCAGAATCCAGCAACATAGTCTATAAGTAGTTTTCTAATAACAATCTCTAGAGGATGATGTCTTGTAATAAATTTGAAGTGACTTACAAGATACTGATAAGCACTGAGGCAGTTTCTTATATCAGGATAACATCAGGATATTCTGAACTCCAAGTCAGCGATGATAATGAATTTATCTTTTGGTTTTTCAAGTTTATGTACATTTTTACTGGTTCTTTCCCAGAAAACAAAAGGATTTTTGTCTCCTGGCTATCATGCCTCTCAGTTAAAATACTTTCTAAGATATACTGTCTTGCTGTGTGTTTGCTCTTTGTGGATAAAAACTTAAATTATGTTTTTACTTTTTTTTTTAATTAGTGGATATGTAGTATGCATGTATTCCATCAAGAATTTAACAACGTATTACATACTTTTATTGGGGTGTATGCATAATGACAAATTTGGTAGCTGCTTTGCAGTGATCAACAGCCAGTGTATGAGTTTTGTCATTTATATTCATTGCTTTATACAGAATTGGGTTGTTTTGGGTTTGTGTGGCAAGGGTTTGGTAGCTGTGGGGGTTGCAGGGGTGGCTTCTGTGAGAAGCTGCCAGAAGCTTCCCCTGCGTCCGACAG